TGATGCAGACGTCATGTCGCCCACCTTGACTCACTGCTCGACCGTCCAACGGGGCTCGGCCTGCCGGCGCCCAGTCCCTCCTCCGTCACGGCCGTCTGCGCCTCGACCGACAGACGCACTCTGTCCACCACCGGATTGGCCGGTTTCGGCCCAGCGCCTGCCGGTGCTCGTGCGAGTCCCGCTTCACCGGCACCGCGTCTGCCGGCGCCGAACGCCGCCGTCTCTGCGCCGGCCACCGGTTGCTGGGCGACCGCGGTTTTGGCCAGCGGCTTCCCGGCGGCGCCGGACAGTCTGCAATGGCCGGCGGCGCCGGGCAGCAACAGCAAAGCCGTGTCCGGCCGCGGAAGACCGGCTTGCAGAGCACGAATGATGTAGTGCATGAGTTTGGCTGCCTCGTCGTCGGCCAAAGGGCGCGGCCACATGCGACGATCGGCGAGCCATTCATGCGAGCCGGATTTGGCCAATCGCACGCACGGACCCTTCACCTCCACGTCCACACTCGCCTCCACCAACTCGTCCAACTGGCGCGCACTGGCCACCAAATAGCCTCGTCGACTCTGCCGCCACTCGGACGTGACACACGCCACAGTCGAGGCCGCCTCGCCCTCCTCGCCCTCCTCGCCGCCCGACAACAATCCCGCCTCGCCCTCGCCCTCGCCTTCGCCTTCGCCTTCGCCTTCACCCTCGCCCTCGCCGTTGGTGTTGGTGTCGACGTCGACGTCATCATTTGCCTCATTGCACACTTCGTCAGACGTCGCCGAGGCCAGCATCGAGTTGAGCCGACGTCGGTACGAGTTGTTGTTGGTCTCCGCGTCGTGCGCCAGAAAGGGCGAGTGTGAATGCGACTGTGAATGTGAAAGAGCCGGTCGAACGCCGACGCCCAACTCGTTGAACTGCCAAGCGTCGGCCGAGTCGGCCAGGCCGGCGACGATGTCGCGTGAGAGATGGGCCGAACGAGTGCGTCCGGCGGCCGGTTGGCCGAGTTGGTGGTGCCACGACGGCTGGCGACGCAACAGCAGACTGGAGATGGGCGAGATGGGCGGACTCGGCGAGGTCTGGCGCAACAGGTCGGCCGTCGAATCGGACAGCGCGTGCGAGCAGCCCCGTTGCGACCGGCACGAGGCGCCCGACTGCACAAAGTTGGTCACCTCCTCGGCCTCGG